TTGTGTAAATAGTACAGGACGTGACTATGAACACACGAAGTTTTACCACGTACAGAAATTGTATTAGCCGTGACTATGAACACGAGGTTTTACCACGTAATTGTATTAGCTGTGAACATGAAGTTTTCCCACGTAATTGTATTAGCCGTGATTATAAACACGAGGTTTTGCCATGCAATTGTATTGGCCGTGACTATGAACACACGAGGTTTTACCACTTAATTGTATAGGACGTGACTATGAACACGAAGTTTTACCACGTAATTGTATAGGCCGTGATTATAAACACACGAGGTTTTACCACGTAATTGTATTGGCAGTGACTATGAACACACGAGGTTTTGCCACGTTGTGTGATCGTGTATGTCTCACGTGCCACGTGTTGGCAATCACTTCCATAAAATGCAGGATGGTTGCGTTCTTGAAATACGCTGCCAGAAACCACATTTTCGCAAGAAAGGCTACGAAATATTGCACTCAACACCAATTACCAACACCCGCCATAAGCCTCGAAGTGACGGTGGTGTCACCACGGCGCCTGTGCCAGGCTAGGTGCACTTTGAGGCTGCCACGTGAAGTGTCGAAGGCTCTCTGCTGACAGGAGGAGGTCACGGGGCAGACCCAAACCATGACACCTGCTGGGTCTCGGGACAAACACAAAGATAAAAAGACAAAGATCCCCGTATAGCCTTAACAGACTGTAGGGGCAAGTGCTATTAGCGAGCACCTATGAAGGCCGGAACGGCACACGAGGGGGTGGGTGGCCAGCACCACGCCCGACCGCCTTTGTCTCCCTAGTGGCACACAATATTTACACACCGCACCAGGTACTCATTTGAGGCTGAGTCGACCTAGGGCAGGCCCGGGACCTGTTTAGATAATCATTGGTGTTGGCATATACACACATACACACACTCGGTTATCCAGATTACAACTTAATCAGTCGGTCCCGGGCCGATCCTGCGAACACCGCTCCAAAGGTTGTCGACCACAGTCCGGCGATTGTCAAAAACCCATTGACGTTGATGTTGAAATTAGAGCGGGGTGGAGATTAGAGTGGGAAGTCCGGTCAAGTTAAATGCGGTAAAGTCACGTAGGTAAAAATAAATAATAGAAAAAAATCATAAGAAATGTATTATTAATTTTTATTATTTATTTTTACCTACGTGACTTTACCGAAAAAACCTAAGAGTATGAATCCTTGCAGTCACGAAAGCTTCACATCTAGAATAAATGCGGTAACTTTTTCACACTAGGATCTGTATTTTCGTGTCTATTTGGACGTTTGTGCCAAGGTCATATCGTGAACATTAGAGTAACACACTAAGGAAAACATACACACAACACTTAAACATGTAAGGTTACGCAAGAGTGTGCAAAAATAAAGCAATTTTAAAGAATGATTCGTGATTATCCGGCGCCCTCTTAACCCCAAAGCCGCCGGATAATCAATAATCGACTGTATCTATAAAGTATAATCCATTCTTCATGCTATAACACGTTAGAAAATAGTCCGTGACTCCTGTAAATTCATTTGGCAAGAGTGCTGTTGTACAAAGTTCCTGAAACATTAATTTTTGTTTCGATTTAAAGCTTTCGTGACTGCAGGGATTCATATTATTGGTTCTTTCGGTAAAGTCACGTAGAAGGGAAATAATAAAATAAAAAATTATCACGACGTTTCGATTGCAACACAATCAATCGTCATCAGGTGTGAAAACCACAGCAAGACAATTGGAACAAAAATGTATTTTTATTTTATTTTTTATTATTTCTCTTCTACGTGACTTTACCGAAAGAATCAAGAATATGAATTTTTGTTTTACCAAAATTGACCCACAACACTTAAAACATTTTGCTCACCTTGTCTTCTTTCTTACCTAGGCTAAAGTGGCTTGATCTTTTGAAGAAGAAGAATAAAAATCACGTTCTACTACGTTTCACAAGTAAGCACCTCGCTGATCAAATGTGTTTAGAGTCATCGGTCGATCGATGCGTCGGAGAGGAAGTTTCTGCGCCGTAAATCGATCCGTGGTGGCATGTGCTGTGGGCGTCGTAAATTCGGACCGTCTGTAAACCTGAGTGTGAAGTGTTACAAACCTGTCAACCCCTGATCAGTGCCCTGCCTTATTACAGACCAATTCAGACCTTTTTAAATCCTTTATATTAAGTTCACGTGCTTGCTTGCTTGCGCGCTTACGACCGTGCAAATCTTTCGGTCGTTTTTTAACCCACTTCCCGTGATCCAATGGAGCTGACATCTTGCACACAGACTCGTTGTGCGAGACAATTTATTTTCGTGAAATTTTTTTCCAAAATTTTACACTTTTTAGGTAATTTTTTTTTATATTTAATTACCAATTGCTTAATGGTGGCAGGCAATCATCTGACCCATAGGTGGCAGCCATCTCAACCCAGAGGACGAGAGGACTCTAGCCGCCACGCATATAAAGGATTTATAGTGAAAAACTTTGTTTTTACGGGTTAATTTTTTTGTCACTCCGTGCCTTGATACATCTCAACGTTCGTCCTACAAAGTCCCATCACAAGGGAGAAACACAAACAGACAACAAAAATGGTTTGCCCATAGAGCAGGGGTGAGTAACCTTTTTTCTGCCAAGGGCCATTTGGATATCTATAACATCATTCGCGGGCCGTACAAAATTATCAACTTAAAACTAAGCCTGTTATATTTGGTCAAACATTTAATTAACTCGCTCCTAATGCGATGGCTAGAACTGCTTCTCTTTGGTGAGGCGTGCGATGTTAGATGGTATTGATGATGTTGTTGCTACCAGCAACTGCTTTCCAGGATCTGCTCCTACATTTATTGAACTTTGAGTCCCATCTGCGGTTACCTTGGTAGGGCCACATCAAATGATTTACCTTATACAGCCCACGGGCCAGACGTTCCCCACCCCTGCCATAGAGAAACGGCTTTATGCCTCTTGAACGTGAAAAATCAATTTCACTGTACAAGAATCACGTGGTGACCCATATGGGTTGTGTGCAATCAACATTTTGACTGACATTTACTGAAACATTAACCAAAGTTCATGAAAAATCGATGTTTAATTGAATATTGACGCTTCACAAATTTTAGGTGCTAAAAAAAATGGGCTTTAAAGGAATAAAAAATGCAGACAGGGTAACAGACACTGTGTGATGAGGGGTGCAGTTTGCTCAGCCAGCGTAACTCACCGTTTCATACCGTGAACGCTAAATAACCACCCATTCATATCGTAGGCAAAGACAATTTATCCTGAAAATAATGTGACGTCCCATACTAGTGCGCTATTAAAATTCAAGACGTCAATAAAAGAAACATCGTGACCTGTAAAGTACATTCACATTTCGCCGATGCAGCCATCTAGCAAGCCGTGAGGTTGCATTGCCCACCAATCACCAAGCTCCGTGGCGGAGTGCGTTACTGCGCATATGTTAGCCGAGACAAATGTAAACAAACATTCTACGAGCATGATGCGCAACGCTCAATAATCCATCTTATTATAATTGTGTTCTTGAAATAGTACCGTGGATGGCTATTTATGTATCACTTTCCTTTATATTTTTCCATTGAAATAATGTTAGTAAATCGAAAGTTCATACTCTTTGGTTCTTTCGGTAAAGTCACATAGATGAAAATTTTAAGTAATAATATTAATAAAATGAAAATAACTAAATTAAATCACGACGTTTCAGAGGCAACACAAGCTTCTGTCATCAGGTGGAACAGCCACAGCAAAATGACTGTAGTGAGCAGAGAGAGGTATTTAGTTATTTTCATTTTTTTTATTTTTCATCTACATGACTTTACCGAAAGAACCAAAGAGTAGTATGGATCCCTGCAGTCACGAAAACTTCAAATCTAGAATCGAAAGTTCGTTCTACTGAAACTTCGTACGTAGAATATTTGCATATCGAGATATATTACTGCATTTCGTGGTCTATAGTGCAGCGTGTGAGTGTGAGATTGAATACAGTGAGGTTGACCTGATTGGGATGAATGCGGTGAGGCTGATGTGCGTGTGAGTCAGGGTGAGTGTGAGTCAGGGTGAGTGTGTTGGGGCGGAGGTGAGGCTCAGGTATGAGTAGGGGTGTGTATCTGGTGCGCTGGTGTAGCGGTTAGTGCGCTGCTGTACAAACACAGCGACACGAGTTTCATTCCCGCTCATAACCAACACCAGCGATGATTATCTGAACCGGTCTTGGGCCTCCCCTAGGTCGACTCAGCCTCAAATGAGTACCTGGTGCGGTGTGTAAACATCGCCACTGGGGGGGTGTGCTGGCCACCCACCCCCTTGTTTGCCATGCTCGCTAACAGCACATGCCCCAACAGTCTGTTAAGGCTATAAGGGGATGCCTTTGTGTTTTGTGTGTTCATGTAGCAAGATCAGTGTGTGCGAGGGGCTGGTAACCCGTCCACTTAGCACTAATTTATATTAGCAACCACGGTGGACACACTCAAATCAATTTGCGCTGGAGGCCCCGAAGAGATTAATCTATGATGCCTTCTGGCAAAATCCAATTTGGTGGAGCCAGATTCTCCCCCTCCCCTCGGTGCTCTTCAAGAAGCACCAGGAAATTACCGAGGTTGGCCACGTGGGATGTCCGAACTCTCACTGCGGATAAGAGGCTTCAATTCCTCTGTCGGAAGCTGGACCGGTACCGCTTGGACCTCCGTTGAATACCAGAGGTCCGGTGGACTGGTTCTGGCTCCAGCCACCAGAAGGGGGAGGACAGTTTTTGTCTACTTGGGACAGGAAACTGCCAAACAACAAGGAGTGCCACTTTTTTAACAATATATGAAGGGTGTGTGGGAACATGGAGACGAGGTGCGGGAAGCCGTGAGTCTCATCAACGGGAGGAGAGGGATGGTGGTGGTGGTGGTGGCTTACGCCCCCACCGAAGATGAACATCAGTGGAGGGATGCGGGCAAGGTTGATGAGTCGGATGCTTTCTGTGACCTGTCGCAGGTGCTGGCTATTGCGACCCCTCAGTATAGAGTCGTCCTCTTGGGTGACTTTATTGCCCGAGTGGGTCATGATGCAGTCACCTGGTCTGGAATGATTGGAAGGCATGGTCCAGATCGGCTCAATAACAATGGTAGGAGGCTGCTGTGCAGCCCATCAGCATGTAATCACCAACACGCTGTTGTGGCATCGGTGCATTCACACGATATCATGGATGCACACCAGGCACAAGCAAGAACATCTGCCAGACTACATAGTTATTGAATAGAAAATGTGGGCCCATGTCCTTGACCAGCGGGACCTATCGTGGAATTGATCTTCCTCCTGACCATCGGCTTGTTATCTGTAAGATGTGACTACCTGACTTTCACTGCTGTGGCAATCATCCATCGAGGACTCCACTCAAACCCACAATAGCCTGGTCTCGTTGTGCTGATTAAGGTTTCATCATCGCTTACAACTGGAGTTGGCATCGCGCCCTCCCTTCCTCCTGAGTTTCACGACAGCAGCTCGTGCAGCTGTTATGTTTGCACTGGGTACTCAGCAGAGGTCGCAAACGGTTTTGATTCCTTACCCGTACCCGTACCCGGCCGCACCAGGGTCGCAAACGGGTACCTGTACCCGGCCGGGTACGGGTAGCCGGGTATCGGGTAGGGTACGGGTATCGGGTACCCGGTTGCGACCTCTGGTACTCAGTCCCGACCTCCCCAGAAACTCTGGCTCATGGAGGAGGTGTTCTGGCAAGTTGAAAGTAAGCAGCGGGCATTTGTGTGAACGTGCGATGCTGATTATGACGACGATGCTGCTGTTACTGATGATGATTCTGATGATAATTGGCATGACTGATTATGACGCCGCTGCTGTTGATTCTGCTGTTGCTTACGATGATGATGCTCCTGATGCTGCTGCTGTTGATTTTGGTGGTGATGGTGCTGCTGTTGAATGCAATGTTAATGAGGATGTTGATGTCAGGTGGAGAGATGAAAGAAGGCCGGGTGAAACGGACTCGTACTCTGGGAGCCATCTTCACCATTATCTTCGCCATCATCCTCCTCTCGAACGTGAGTGACCCCCATCACCACCCACACCACCTCCCATCATGCATCACCACGACCACCATCACTACCACCACCATCACCACCCCCATCACCTCCCATCATGCATCACCACGACCACCATCACTACCACCACCATCACCTCCCGTCTGGCCATCTAACCTCTTCTCCCCCTCCTCGGCCTCCACCTCTGCCCCCCCCCCCTGCCCCCTCTCAGCTGCTGCCGTCGAGTTTCTGGGCTGAGTGGGCCCCCCGATTCCCGTTCACGACCCCCCACATGTCCCTGAGGGTCACGAGCGCCCGCCACTGCTCCATGCGCATCGTACCCCCCCCACAGTCCCCCCCCTCCTCCTCCCCCTCCCCCCCCTCCTATCGAGTGGGCGATCTACTCACCGTGTCCATCGTGGCACGGGACTACAACGGCAGCGCCAAGCTGCGCGGCGGGGACTACTTCCGCGCGAGGATCCACTCGGCGCAGGAGGTATACGGACACGGCGGGCTCGCCGGGTTGGTGGGGCTGGCGGGGCTGGCCAGCCTGGCGGGGTTTGAGCCGGACGGCGCAGGGGTGACGAGCGCCACGGGCGCGGTGCGGGACCACGCGGACGGGACCTACTCGGCCACGTTCCGCCTGCTGTGGCCGGGTGCCACGGCCGTCTCCATCTCGCTGGTCCACTCGCGGGAGGCCGTCGCACTGCTCGCCCGCCTGCGTGACGAGGCGCCCGACAAGGTGGGGGCGGGCTGGGGGTGGGGGTTGGCTGGGGGGTGGGGGCCTACGGGGGGTGGGGGCCGGCTGGGGGGTGGGGCCTGCGGGGGGGGGGGGGTGCGGGGGGGGCTGTAGCTACAACGATACTTTGACTTTTGTCGCTTCGCTCTTGCGGCCATTTTCAATTATCACCACATTTCAAATGTCATCCACGTGCTTTCGTACAATTTCTGCCAAACCTTCCACGACATTCGCGCCACGTGCCATCCTCTTCGTTCAGTCGTTAAATAGAAGTCGTTCAGTGAGCATCTCTTATATTTGTGTTTATTCATGTGTTATTAATACCGTACTTATTTCTTTGATTATACTGTAAACAATTCATAGTTATTTTTGTGATAACAGTATAATACTATAGTGTCCATAGTTATTTTCGTGATTATAAAACACGTGTACAGTATTCCTACTGTGCTTATATTTGTTATTACTGTAAAATACTTATTTTTGTGCTTTAATATATTCATAATGGGTCCTAAGTGTGGTGATAGTAAAGCTAAAAGAACCCATAAGGTTCTCAATTTGCAAAAAAAGCTTGACATAATCAAACTTAATGAGCACAGCATGTCCCATGCTGATATAAGTCGCAAGCTAGGCGTACCTCGCACAACAGTTCGTACAATTCTTAAGAACAACGCTAAAGTGTTAGAGGAAATAAATAAACGCTACGCCAGCGCAAACCAAACTCGTTCACTTACACAAGTGTAGAGATGCATACTCTTTGGTTCTTTCGGTAAAGTCACGAAGGTAGAAAATAAAATAAATCACGACGTTTTGATCGCAACACAAGCGAACGTCATCAGGCGGGACCGATACAGCAGGACAACTGCTGATTTAGGAGAAAGATCTGCTAACGACAAGAGGTTATAAAGGGTTTTGGTGGGTTCAACCCCAGCCGTAAGTGGGCGGAGCTAGAGAAGGAAGAAAGGGGGGAGGCAAGGAGGGAGGGAGGAGTTGGACACAGGTTATAGATGGAAGCTAGAGAGAAGTTTATCTCTGTCTTCTATAACCTGTGCCCAACTCCCCCCCTCCCTCCCTCCCTCCTTTTTTTTAAAACGATCAGACGAGAAAATGCTCAGTCTTTCGGCACTTTACTTCGTTCATCATGTCGTTTGTTTGTATTTTTCTTTTAATCAAAGATTTAACGCGAGTTTCCCGTGTAACATTAGTCCCATTGTGTGTTACGGTGTTCATAGACACCAATAAGAAAACAAGTCATCCTCAAAATACCCATCACCAGATCCCCTGCTGCTGCGCTACCAGCACCATAGCGGCGAAAGGCACCTGCCTGACCTCCCTCCCCTCCCCTCCCTCCCCTGCCCTCCCTCCCCTCCCCTCCCTCCCCTCCCCTCCCTCCCCTCCCTCCCTCCCTCCCTCCCTCCCTCCTTGCCTCCCCATTCTCACAGCGCGGCAGCCAACGCTGCAGCATCCTGTATCATTGACACGCTAATTGTCTCACATTAGCATCACTAACCCAGCTTCTCTCTACCTTCCATCTATAACCTGTGCCCAACTGCCCTCTCCCTCCCTCCTTGCCTCCCGCCTTTCTTCCTTCTCCAGCTCCGCCCACTTACCCCTGGCGTTGAGCCCACCAATATAACCTCTTGTCGTTAGCAGATCTTTCTCCTAAATCAGCAGTTGTCCTGCCGTATCGGTCGCATGTGTTGCGATCAAAACGTCGTGATTTCTTTTATTTTCTACCTACGTGACTTTACCGAAAGAACCAAAGAGTATGGATTCCTGCAGTCACGAAAGCTTCAAATCAAGATTGTAGAGACGTCAATAGAGAAATCAACGTTCACGAGCAGGTAACTGCTCAGGTCACGTATCTCTCTCTGGCACCGGCGGAGATATGGCAGGGAAGCGGGCCCTGGAGGGCATGGTCCCGTTGAAGGGAGAGCGAGGGCACGTGAACGACACGGGGTAGTGAGGCGGCCCGGAAAGGGGGCTTGAGGGACACGTGACGCTGGGCCCGGTTCCTTCGGGAGAGATTGAGTAGGGGGCGTAGCCAGAGGCCAGAGGTCGCAAACGGGTTTTGATTCCTTAGCCCCCGTACCCGTAGCCGTACCCGTAGCCGTACCCGTAGCCGTACCCGGCCGCACCAGGGTCGCAAACGGGTACCCGTACCCTACCCGATACCCGGCTACCCGTACCCGGCCGGGTATCGGGTAGGGTACGGGTATCAGGTACCCGATTGCGACCTCTGGGATGAAGCCATGTTGCAGGCGCGGGTGGGTTGATTCTAGGAACTTGAATTGTGAGAAGAGACAAGACGTTGGGAAATGAGTGACAAACGATGACTCACCAGTGACTCACGGCCTACCCGTACCTGGCCGCACCAGGGTCGCAAATGGGTACCCGATACCCGGCCGGGTACGGGTAGCCGGGTATCGGGTAGGGTACGGGTATCGGGTACCCGATTGCGACCTCTGCCAGAGGCGGAGCGAGGCCACGCTCAGGAGGATAAGAGGGATGGGGGGCGGAGCGATCGTGGTTGTCTGGAATGGTGGACTCACCGTGTTCCGCCTCTTTGGTCGTCGGTTTAGATTGTATTTTAGGTTCCGTGGGTCAGGAAGAGTTACCGTCCTGACCCAGCTACGTAGTTGACCCGGTTGGGTTCTAGTTAAACCGTTGTCACGTTAAGTAGGGGCCCCGTTGGGCCGAATAATAAACGTGATGCCTCCAGATTACAGTGTGCCTCTCCGTGGAACCCACTACACAAGAATAAACACATGTAAAGGTTTCATTTTGGTTTATTTATTTTTGTTTTGTTTATTTATTCTTATGTTTATTTTTATTTTATTTACGTTTGTTTATGTTTCGCACGCACGTTTTTAAATTTACTGTAGCTATTTGCACGTACGTGTTATATAGTCACTGTAGCTATTTGCACGTACGTGTTATATAGTCACTGTAGCTATTTGCACGTACGTGTTAAATATTCACTGTAGCTATTTGCGTGTACGTGTTATATATTCACTGTAGCTATTTGCATGTTCGTGTTATATATTCACTGTAGCTATTTGCACGTACGTGTTATATAGTCACTGTAGCTATTTGCACGTACGTGTTATATATTCACTGTAGCTATTTGCACGTACGTGTTATATATTCACTGTAGCTATTTGCACGTACGTGTTATATATTCACTGTAGCTATTTGCATTTACGTGTTAAATATTCACTGTAGCTATTTGCGTGTACGTGTTATATATTCACTGTAGCTATTTGCATGTACGTGTTATATATTCACTGTAGCTATTTGCATGTTCGTGTTATATATTCACTGTAGCTATTTGCACGTACGTGTTATATAGTCACTGTAGCTATTTGCACGTACGTGTTATATATTCACTGTAGCTATTTGCACGTACGTGTTATATATTCACTGTAGCTATTTGCACGTACGTGTTAAATATTCACTGTAGCTATTTGCGTGTACGTGTTATATATTCACTGTAGCTATTTGCATGTACGTGTTATATATTCACTGTAGCTATTTGCATGTTCGTGTTATATATTCACTGTAGCTATTTGCACGTACGTGTTATATAGTCACTGTAGCTATTTGCACGTACGTGTTATATATTCACTGTAGCTATTTGCACGTACGTGTTATATATTCACTGTAGCTATTTGCACGTACGTGTTATATATTCACTGTAGCTATTTGCATGTACGTGTTATATAGTTACTGTAGCTATTTGCATGTTCGTGTTATATATTCACTGTAGCTATTTGCATGTACGTGTTATATAGTCACTGTAGCTATTTGCATGTACATGTTATATAGTTACTGTAGCTATTTGCATGTACGTGTTATATAGTTACTGTAGCTATTTGCACGTACGTTTTTCGCCGTCCAAAATACATGTGCAAGCCCAACAAAGGCTCCGCTTTGACATTCAAACATTTTTGATATTCGTCCATGCTCTGGCCCCCATCCAGACGGAAGTGCACGGTGTTCCTGTACAGTCTCGCCAAGTTGGGTGGGAGCTGTGGCCGAGGGGGTTTAACTGGGCCGGGTTGGGGGGGGGGGGGCACTGCAGAATCTCGGGCAGTGCCGGACGTGCGAGGTAGGAGTCGTTGGTCCTCACGCCCGCCCGCCCTCCGTAGGTTTTCTTCTACGGCTACTTTGAGGGCGGGGGGCGCACGGAGCGCACCGAGTGCAACGCCGTGAGGCCGGGGCGTGTGCGCGGCGTCCACGCGGAGGAAGAGCCGGAGGTGTGCGAGTTCCGCGACGCGGGGGAGCGGTGGTTCTGCGTGAGGCCCCCCACTCTGCCCTGCTCCGCCTGGAGCTACCACTCCATGGGGGGCTACCGCACCGTCACCACCAGGGCGGAGGACGCGCTGCTGCATAGGTGGGGCGGGGAGGGTGGGGGGGAAGGAGTGGGGGGGATCATCATCGTCACCGCCACCATCATCACCACTACCACCACCATCATCATCACCATCATTATCACTATCATCACCACCACCACCATCATCATCACTATCATCACCACCATCATCATCATCACCATCATCATCACTATCATCACTACCACCACCACCACCACCACCACAATCATCACCACTGTTATCACCATCGTCATCAACACCATCACCATTCCAACCAACACCACAGTAATCACCGCCGTTATCATCATCATGATAACCGCCATTATCACCACAACCACCATCATGACCATTATCCACATCATCATCACCGCCGGAAATAATCATTACCATCACTAGGTCGAGGGAGCAGGAGGACAGGAGCGGTTATGATGGTGGTGAGGATGGTGGTGATAATGGTGGTGGTGATGATGGTGGTGATGATGTTGTTTCAGATCTGTGACCGATGTACCGATTGGTGGTGGTGACCTCACCATCATGGTGCAGCCCTCGGAGGTGAACCTCAGTGAGTCACCACCACACCCCGCACACACCGCACAAAACACACCGCACCATACACCGCACACACCACACCACACACTGAATTGCTCCGGACACACCACACACACTGCACTGCACACAGACACCACGCACCGCAACACACACCGACCCGCTCCGCACATACAATGCACCACACCGCGCACCACACACCGCACCACACACCGCACCCACATTACCGCACCACGCACACACACTGGGCACACTGCACATTCACCCCACACACACCACACACACACACGAACCACACAGACACCACACACCGCACCCACATTACCGCACCACACACACACACTGGGCACACTGCACATTTACCCCACACACACCGCACACACACACGAACCACACAGACACCACACACCGTACACACACCCTCTTCCATATCACCTCTTTGCCCTCCCCTTCTCCCCCTATTCTCCTGCTCCCTCCCCTCACCCCCTCCCCGCACTCTCCCCCCCCCCCCCACTTCTCCCTCCTCTCCTGTTCCCTCCCTCTGGCACGCTCCCCCCTTTTCCTTGCCCCCTCCCACCTCCCCCCTCCATTCACCCTGCCCCTCCCCCCCCCGCCCCACTGTGCCCCCCACTCCCCCGTCCCACAAGCGGCACACCTGCCCCCGTGCCGCCCGGTGCTGCCCCCCACCGCGGTGGTGCCGAGCGGCTTCTACGTGGGGGGAGAGTGGCACTCGTTGGTGTGCGCCGCTCGGCGCTTCCGCCAGCCGGGCGCCGTGGCAAGCTGCCTCCGGGGCCGCCGAGTCTTCATGTACGGGGACTCGACGCTGCGCCAGTGGTGGCAGCTGCTCACCGACACTGCGCCCTGTGAGTGAGCCACGCGGTGAGCCGGTGAGGTTAGCTGCTCACCGGCACCTTGCCCTGTGAATGAGCAACGCGGTGAGCCGGTGAGGTTAGCCGCTCACCGACACCGCGCCCTGTGAGTGAGCCACGCGGTGAACCGGTGAGGTTAGTCGCTCACCGACACCGCGCCCTGTGAGTGAGCGAGTGAGCTATGAGGTTAGCCGGTGGGCGGGAGGGCAAGTGGGTGACCGAGCAATCGAGTGAGCGGGTAGGTGAGTGGGTGGATGAGCGAGTCGGTGGGTGATTGAGTGGTGGGCGAGTGAGTGAGTTAGTAGGCAGATGAGTTAGTGGGTAGGTGAGTGGGTGGGCGGTTGAGTTGGTGGGTTAGTGGTTGAGTGGGTGGGTGGGTGAGTGAGTGGGTGGGTGGTTGAGTCGGTGGGTTAGTGGTTGAGTGGCTGGGTGGGTGAGTGGGTGGGTGGGTGGTTTAGTCGGTGGGTTAGTGGTTGAGTGAGTGGGTGGGTGGTTGAGTCGGTGGGTTGGTGGTTGAGTGGGTGGGTGGGTTGGTTGAGTGAGTGGGTGGGTGGTTGAGTCGGTGGGTTAGTGGTTGAGTGGGTGGGTAAGTGAGTGGGTGGGTGGTTAAGTGAGTGGCTGTTTGGGTGAGTGGATGGTTGAATGAGGTCCCCCGTTCCCCCCCCGCCCGCCCACACGCACAGCGCTGAAGGTGGAGGCCAACAAGGCTCCCCTGCAGCTGGGGCCGCTGATCGCCCGGGACTCCGAGACCGGAGCCGTGGTTCTGTGCCGCTCCCACGGCCTGCCCCTGCGCTCCAAGCGGGGACCCGTCTCCTCCATCCACTACATCGCCAACGAGCTCGACAGCCTGCCCGGTGATCCCCCTGATCCCTCCTGATCCCAGCTAATCCCCCTGATCCCCGCTGATCTCCCTGAAGCCCCCTGAACTCCTCTGTTACTCGCCGATCCCCCCTGATCGCCACTAAACCCCTCCGATTTCTACTGATCCCCTTTAATCCCCTCCGATCACAATTGATCCCCCTGATTCATTTCGATCGCTGCTTCTTCTTCCTGATCCTTCCTGTTGATCCACACTGATCCCCGCTGCCCCCCCCCATCCCCACTGAGCTCCTCCCACCCTCACCGATCCTTCCTCTTGTTGATCCCCCCCCCCCCCCCCTGTTGTTGAACCTCTCTCTGCGGATCCCTCCTGAAGCACGTGGGGGTGAGCGGGGAGCGGGAGCTCCAGTCTCTTGGCTGGTTGCGCGCGAGGGGACATCGGATGCATCACTGAATTAGCAGCACTGCCCTGGCCTCGTATTAGGGGTGGGGGGGGGGTGGTGAGTGTGGTGAGGGGGGGGCTCCCATTGGCCCACACACTGCCCAGGTCTCGACAGAGCGGCGCTGCTGCTGCAAGAGGCGCGCAGGGGCACGACGGTCGCGTCTGGTTGCGCGTGGCACGTGGCGGTGGTGGCGCCAGTGGTGGTGGTGGAGATGGTGGTGATTGTGGCGGCGGTGGTGATGGTGATTGTGGTGGTGATGGTGATTGTGGTGGTGGTGGTGATTGTGGTGGTGGTGGTGATTGTGGTGGTGGAGGTGTTGTGGCCAGAGGGGCTTTGTCACGGTCTCCGGTGCTAGTGTGGCCGGAGTGGATCTGCCTGGCTCTGCAGTGGTCACACCACCACCACTACAATCACCGCCACCATCGCCACCACCACTACCAAAACAATCACCACCACCATCACCACCACCACTACCAAAACAATCACCATCACTACCGCCACCGCCACGTGCTCTAAGCTTCCCACTCGCACAGAATGATGTCAAGCATGGTGGTGACTAGCGTGTTACTCTGTGGTCTCCCCTCCCCTTCTCTCCCCGCCACACACACCTCGTTACACACACCTCATCATGTACACCTCGTCATACACACCTCGTCATACACACCTCGTCATACACACACACACACCTCGTCACACACGCACACACACCTCGTTACACACACCTCATCATGTACACCTCGTCATACACGCACACACACCTCGTTACACAATCAAAAACACGTGCATCTCGTCATACACGCACACACACCTCGTCACACACACCTCGTCACGCACACACACATCATCACGCACGCGGCACGCTCGCTCCTGGCGGGCTGCTAGGCGTGCCCGGCACGGTGGTGGTGCTCTCGGTGTGCGCCCACTTCACGTCGTTCCCCGCGGCGCTCTACGCGGGCCGCGTCGACCGCATCGGCGCGGCGCTGCGCCGCCTGCTGCGCCGCGCCCCGCGCACCCTGGTGCTCGTCAAGAGCGCCAACACCGGCTACCGCTCGGCGCACGGCTCCGAGTGGCTGGCGCGCGGCCTGGACGCGCTCATGCGGCGAGCCCTGCGCAGGCACCTGGGCGCCGGCGCGGGCGGCGTGGTCGTGGTCGACGCGTGGGACATGAGCGCGGCGCACCCCTCCCCCGACAACATCCACCCGGTGGGCGCGGTGGTGCGCGCCGAGGTGGAGCTGTTCCTCTCGTACGTGTGTCCTGACGACAATGAGGCGTGACCTGGAGATGAGGTGTGGCGTGGCGACGAGGGGTGAAGTGACGACTGAGTGTGGCGAGGTGTGACGTCGTGACGAGGTGTGGCGTCGTGACGAGGGGTGAAGTGACGACTGAGTGTGGCGAGGTGTGACGTCGTGACGAGGTGTGACGTCGTGACGACTGAGTGTGACGAGGTGTGACGTCGCGACGACTGAGTGTGACGAGGTGTGACGTCGCGACGAGGGGTGACGTCGTGACGACTGAGTGTGACGAGGTGTGACGTCGTGACGAGGTGTGACGTCGTGACGACTGAGTGTGACGAGGTGTGATGTCACGACGAGGGGTGACGTGACGACTAAGTGTGACGAGGTGTGACGTCGTGACGAGGGGTGACGTGACGACTGAGTGTGACGAGGTGTGACGTCGTGACGACTGAGTGTGACGAGGTGTGACGTCGCGACGAGGGGTGACGTGACGACTAAGTGTGACGAGGTGTGACGTCGCGACGAGGGGTGACGTGACGACTGAGTGTGACGAGGTGTGACGTCGTGACGACTGAGTGTGACGAGGTGTGACGTGGCGACGAGGATGAGGGGCGTGACGTGTGGTGGGATGTGTGTACGAATGCTGAACTTATTTTGCACTGTACATTGCCAATGGTTGTGATCGGGGGTGCGGATGGGTGTGAGGTGTGATGGTGTGATGGGTGTGATGTGATATGATGGGTTGGGTGGTGGATGCGATGTGATATGTGTGTGGGATGGCTGTAATGTTATGGGTGTGATGTGATTTGAGATGCGATGGGTGGGAGTTGTGATGTGATGGGTGTGATGATGGGATGTGTGTGACGGTGGTGTGGAAGATCGGATGGGGTGTGATGGGTGCGAGTGAGTTTGAGTGTCTTTGCATAGGTTGCACAGTAGGGGGCACAGGTGGTGCATCTGCCGGTAATATCTTGAGTCAGCCACTGACACTTGGGTCTGTCCCGTGACCTGCCAGCGGCGAGCCTCGAAGTGCACCTAGCCTGGCACAAGCGCTCTGGTGACATTCCCGCCACTTGGTGTGCTGTGGGGGGGGGGCGGCAGCGTAGTAGCGATCGGCGCCACTGTGCTTTGAACCGCGCGGCCCGAGTTTGATTCCCGCTCAGGGCAGACATCGGTGACGTATCTCTGAACTGGTATTAGCGACGCCTCAACCCCCCCCCCCATCCCCCCCTAAGTCGACCTGGAGCGGTATGTAAACATCACTTCGGAGACAAAGGCGGCCGGGCTTGGTGTTTTCCACCCCCACGTGTGCTGTGCCGGCCTTCAGAGGTGTTCGCTAACCGCACTTGCCCCGACAGTCTGTTAAGGCTCCACGGCATGAGGAGGAGGGAGGGGGGGGATCCTTCTCTGTGTGTGTACTGTGTGTGTTGTGATCTCTGCACAACACTGCCCTGCGGGGCAAAACAACACCCGGGGTCTGCCCCGTGACCTCCTCCTGCCTGCCAGCAGCAGCGGCTCTTCCACACTTCACGCGACCCCCTCAAGGGGCACCTAGCCTGGCACGAGCGCCGTTGTGACGTCACCGCCACTTATTGGCAAACGGCGGCTGTTGTTGGGGGGGGGGTGTTATGGGGGTTTGGGAAGGATGGGGATGTGGGAGCTTGTGGGGGGGGGGGGGGCTGATCACCTGACTCGCTTTCATCAATCTGTGCCAGTTGGCACACACAGCGTGATTACAGCGTGAGGGGTTTTGTGTTTTTTAACGTTAATAGACCTTCGCGGCAAAACTCACTACAGCTCCCAGTGTAGATTCCACATTCCGATTAGCCGGGGCGAGTCCATCAGTAGGACGAGCAATGTTTACTTCCCCCACAGTGTTACTCAATTTATCGACCACCCCCCCCCCTCTCCGATGATGATCCGCTTGCTTCACCGCCGAGACACAGAGCGGGAACGGGGTTCCCGTGGGGTTGCGTAGCGCGTGCAGCGGCTTCTCTTTAAGACAAATCTATTATTTAGTCATTTACCAGGTAAGGCCCCCGCTTGAGCTGCGTAGCTGTTTTGCAGAAGCGACCCGGTCATCACGAATGACGGTTCACGGAAGTGGCTTCTCATCATCGTCGTCACGTGGACATGTACAGCAACAGCTGAATGGACTCCTGAGCGCGCGATCTCAAATGTGGAGGGGGAAAAACCGGAGGACCCGGAGAAGAATCCACGCGACCACCACGGGAAGAGTGAGAGACGCGCAGACTCCAAATATACAGCAGCAGGCATCGTCGTCGTCAGGGTCGGGATCGAACCCACGACCTCCTGCAGAACAGGCGATGGAGATAACATCCCACCACCTCGAGCGAGCAATTGAAGGCGGAACGGAGTTTGGAGGGGGGGGGGAGGCGGTGAGGTGTAAATCAGTTATTTTGTATGATACAAAGAGACAAATGTGGTGAGGAGGCATCATTGATTTTATTATTCAAGGCCGGGCCGTTACAGGAAATAGAGTTGGGCCGGGCCGACACCCTTTGTTGTCCAGGCCGTGAGAACGCAGCTCTGGAGCGACGATCGTCGTCATTGTCTACCGGCCCCCGCCCCCTTACACACAATGCTCTTGCACGATTGCCTGCAAATTAAATCTACAAATCAACAATCCATCTCCCCTGTGGTCTCATTTATTCCGGGTGACTACGGGTGGAGTAATTGTGGATCTGGGTACGACTGTGGCCCCATAGGTGGCCCCACGTGGATCCAAGTGGCTGCATGGGGAACTTCACGTTACTCCACGAGGGGGCTTCGCAAGGCTCGAAAGGGGCTGCATGTGGCTCCACGTGCACCCACGTGGTTGCATGTGGCTCCACATTGACCACGTGGTTGCATGGGTAGCTCTACGTAGACCACGTGGTTGAATGGGTGGCTCCACTTGGCTCCAAGAAGGGGGGGAGGGGCTCTACTTGTAGGCCCACACGCGGATGTCCTTCACTTGCAGCGCCGCCTCCTCGCCGTTGTTCAACTCCCTCTTCCAGGTGGGGAGCCACTGCGACCTGCGGGGCGGCAGTGGAAATCCTGACTTAGAAACTTTCGTGACTGCAGGAATTCATATTCTTTGGGTCTTTCGGTAAAGTCACGTAGATAGGTAGAAACAAAAAAATGACACTACGACGTTTCGATCGCAACACGAGCCGTCATGTCGCGGTCGTGTTGCGATGGAAACGTTAGTTTTATTTATTTTTAAGTCATCTACGTGACTTTACCGAACCAAGATGAGTGGAAATCTCGTTGGGGAAAGGCGCAGCCCCTGGGAGTGCTCGCTCGCGCCCCTGCTGCTGGCTGGAGTGGCCTCCACTCGAGGGAGCTCTCGACATCCACTCCTCTTCTTTCGGTAAAGTGACGTAGAAGGGAAATAATGAAATAATAAAATTTGAAAAAATACATTTATATTTCATTTTTATTATTTCCCTTCTACGTGACTTTACCGAAAGAACCAAGAAGATGAATCCCTGCAGTCACGAAAGCTTTAAATCGAAATTTAGAGCGCGCTGCTTACCACTACCCCGCTGTGTGGCAGCTTCTCGCATGGGCAGAGCAACGAAATTAATCTTCAACTTTATAATTATCCAAATATCATCAGCATCATCAGTCACGACCACCAACACGTGTACACACACACACCCACGCAGTGCACAAAACAAAGATCCCCCGTATAGCCTTAACAGACTGTAGGGGCAAGTGCTGTTAGCAAACACCTGTAAAGGCCGGCACAGCACACGAGGGGGTGGGTGGCCAACACCACGCCCGGCCGCCTTTGTCTCCCTAGCGGCGATGTTTACACATCGCACCAGGTACTCATTTGAGGCTGAGTCGACCTAGGGGAGGCCCAGGACCGATTCAGATAATCATCACTGATGTTGACCGTGAGCGGGAATCGAACCCGGGTCGCCAGGTTTGTAGCGCAGCGCGCTAACCGCTACACCACCGCTCCCCACACGTGTACATACACATACGTGAACACACCTGCATACAACCTCGTGTCAGAGGTCGCAAACGGGTTTTAATTCCTTACCTGTACCCGGCCGCACCAGGGTCGCAAATGTGTACCCTATCCGATACCCGGCTACCCGTACCCGGCCGGGTATCGGGTAAGGTACGGGTACATGATTGAGACCTCTGGGATGAAGCCACGTTGCAGGCGCGGGTGGGTTGATTCTAGGAACTTGAATTGTGAGAAGAGACAAGACGTTGGGAACTGAGTGACAAACGGTGACTCACCAGTGACTCACGGCCTACCCGTACCCGGCCGCACCAGGGTCACAAATGGGTACGGGTAGCCGGGTATCGGGTAGGGTACGGGTATCGGGTACCCGATTGCGACATCTGCCTCGTGTACACACACATGAACAGGCGTGGCGCGTACTTGGCATTGTAGAAGTCGGCAGCCGCTCTGGGCGAGTTGTTCAACCAGGGCTTGGGGTAGGGTTGGTTCGTCCAGTCGTCCACAAAGAAGGCCGTGCCCCCCACCGCCAGGTTCAAGATCAGGTAGAACTAGGGGTGTGGGTGGTCATAGAGGTCAGAGGGTGCAGGCACAGGGAAGGTCGTAGGAGGTGGAGGGGGGGGGGTAGGAAGTAGTGGTGGTGGTTTCCGAAGTTTTCGGTGCAAATTGTGGACCTCCTATAAAATCAGAATATTCATTTATACTGGAGGCATTCGATGAGCTATGAAGCTCTCTTTCAAAGATTTCCTGAAGGTACAATACAAAAATTACTTCATAAACAAGGTCCCGGCTTTCCAGATCCTATCGGCTCTTCGAATCCATATTTCAGGTTTCTGTGCCAGGTTTTCAGGCCACAGTATCGGAATCCAGGTCTCTCATTCCATTCCTAGGATCCCAGATTCCATTTCCCAGATCCAAGATTTCAATATCCATTTCCCATTACCCAGATTTCTAGATGGGTGTGGGGGGGTGAATCCAGAATCCAAGAATCTGATGTTTCAGGACCCAAGTCTCAGTATCCCAGGATCAAGGCTCCCGGATCGAGTTCCTAGACCTAAGTTCTAGACTCCAGATACCTTCATCGAGGACTCAGGATTCAGCGCCGGGGTGGCAAGATGTTAACTACCTCGCCTGGTACACAGAGGAGGTCGTGGGTTCGATCCCGACCCTGACGCCTGTATACTTGTAGTTTGCATGGTCTCCCCGTGGTCACATGGATTTTTTTTCACATTTAGAAACACGCGTTTAGAGTATTGGACTGCTATATATTTGGATATGATAAGTCACTTCGTTTGTGGCCAGGTCGCTTCTGAAAAAGAGCTACATAGCTTAGTGGGCCTTACCTGGTAAAACTAGTATTTTAGTTTTTAATAGTTTTAGTTTAGATCGCCTCGCCTTCCTCCCAGGTCCTCATCCTCACATCTTGGTCGAAGGGCGCCATCTTTCCTCGCCCCTTCCACGGGTTGTCGATGTTATTGGGGAACGCGCCCAGGCCCCAGAAACCATCTGCTGTCGGGTTCACCTTCAGGGTTTCCTCGCCGTCCAGCAGGAACCTGGGGACACACATCCGTCGCTTTGAGGAAACTGGAGACATATCGAGTGGTCAGGAGCAAACTGGAGGCATCTGAAGGGACCAGAAAGAAACTGGAGGCATCTGAAGGGACCTGGAGGAAACTGGAGACACGTGGAGTTGCCAGGAGATAATTGGATACATCTGCAGAGGCCAGGAGAAAACTGGAGGCATCTGGAGGGACCAGGGGGGGACTGGAGGTGTCTGGAGGTACCAGGATGAAACTGGAGGGAGCTGGAAGGACTAGGATGAAAGTTGAGATATTTGGAGGTACCTGGATGAAACTGGAGGCATCTGGCGTGGCCAGGAGGAAACTGGTGTCCACCAGCTTCACGGCTCCAGCAAAAAGTGAAAGTCAACAAACCCGCACATTCATCTGCCCTGTATTGAATCCTGGGTTTTAATCCGTGGTGTTAGTGAATACACAATGATGATGAAGGAGACTAAACACAACCTTTGGCAAACGACCAGTCCGGAAATGAAATCATTGTGACGTCTCACTTATTCGTCCACAGGCCTGAGTGACATCACAGACTTTACAAGCAGCTGACTCATCTCACCTGAGTGACATCACAGACTTTACAAGCAGCTGACTCAGCTCACCTGAGTGACATCACAGACTTTACAAGCAGCTGACTCAGCTCACCTGAGTGACATCACAGACTTTACAAGCAGCTGACTCATCTCACCTGAGTGACATCACAGACTTTACAAGCAGCTGACTCAGCTCACCTGAGTGACATCACAAACTTTACAAGCAGCTGACTCAGCTCACCTGAGTGACATCACAGACTTTACAAGCAGCTGACTCAGCTCACCTGAGTGACATCACAGACTTTACAAGCAGCTGACTCAGCTCACTTGAGTGACATCACAGACTTTACAAGCAGCTGACTCAGCTCACCTCAGTGACATCACAGACTTTACAAGCATATGACTCAGCTCACCTGGGATGTCATCGCAGCCGAAAGCAGTTCTCACATTCCCAGCCACGTTCCACAGAATCAAGGCCGTAATTATAATACATATTGGGGGGGGGACACATCCCCTACCAATATTCATTCAAAAATGCTCAAAATGCCCCCCCCCCCAATATATTGCTATAAAATATATTTCTGTTAATATGATTGTGGTTATGGTTGTACTTTATTAATCCATAATCTCTGCCATTACATACAATGCAACAATAAATGGTAAAAAAGAAAAAAACAGTCCTGTAATACAATCTCAATGTAATACAATACACTATTAGATATTGTACAAAATAAATAAAAAGTCCATCCTATATGTTAGTGAATTTCTTTATACTTTAGGCAGGAAATTCGTTTTCAAATTTAGAATTTTTTTTCTTCTGGAGGTGGACCCCCAGACCCCGTGGAAGATTTGGTCCCCCCCCCCCCCCCCCAATGTTGACCCCATGGTTACGGCTTTGCACAAAGTCAACGGCTTGCTTCAAGGCCACACAGCAGACCTAAAGATGCTCTCCATGCCCCCAAATTTTAGTCTATCGCCCGTCTCACCTCAAAAGATCTGATTGCTGCTGCAGCCCCATTGCGGATTCAAATAAAACCAAAAAAATGCCAGGCAAAGTCTCACTGAGCTCTATAGCTCTCTTTAAGCAGAAACGACCTGCCCACAAATTACATCTCAACGAAGTGGCTCATCATGGGGAAATGTACAGCAGCCAAATACTCTCAACTCGTGTTCCTAAATGTGGAGGGGGAAAAAACCGGAGGAGCCGGAGAAAACCCACGCAACCACGGAGAGCGTGAAGACGCAAACTCCAAATACACAGCAGCAGGCGTCGGGGTCGGGATCGAACCTAGGACCTCCTGTACACCGGGCGAGGTAGTCAACATCTCCTAGCCACCGCGGTGCCCCTTATCTCTTGCTTCTGCATGGACACCACCATCTGGATGCCCGATGGTTCCTCAATGATTCTTGTAGCCAAGTCCATGATGATTGTTACGATAATGATGATGATAATGCTGATTCTGTTGATGCTGTTGATGATGATGCTGTTGATGATGATGATGATGCTGATTCTGTTGATGATGCTGTTGATGATGCTGATTCTGTTGATGATGATGATGATTCTGTTGATGATGATGCTGTTGATGATGATGATTCTGTTGATGATGATGCTTGTTACCTCATGTATTCTGGTGTCCACTCCACCTCATACTTGTGGAATCCACTTCCGAAAGTCCCCTCTTTCGCGTGCCTGTGATGGGGTGGGGGAGGGGGGGAAGGAAGGGGGGGGGGTATATGAATACTCTTTGGTTCTTTGGTAAAGTCACGTAGGTAAAAAAAAATAGAAATAAAAAATAAATAAAACGTTTCGATTGCAACACAAGCAATCACCATCAGGTGTGAAAATCACAGCAAGAACATTTATGTGAAACCCGGATGGACATTGACGATTCAATTAAATACATCGATTCGTTTTATTTACGTCGTTGTTGTTGTGATGAAAGTTGTGGTCATCCTAGTGATTGTTGATATTGTTGCGGGCTATGTTTATTTATTTGTATTCGTTACTTGTTTACCGAGATAAGCCTCACCGAGTTCCACGACTCTTTGTCAGAAGGGTGCTGCCACGTTCCAGAGGTGTGGACTCGAGTCATGTGACTTGGACTCGAGTCAGACTCGAGTCATGTGACTTGGACTCGAGTCAGACTCGAGTCATGAATTTGATGACTTCAGACTCGACTTGGACTTGCATAACAATGACTTTGTCCCACCTCTGAGGTGTGGACTCGAGTCATGTGACTTGGACTCGAGTCAGACTCGAGTCATGAATTTGATGACTTCAGACTCGACTTGGACTTGCATAACAATGACTTTGTCCCACCTCTGAGGTGTGGACTCGAGTCATGTGACTTGGACTCGAGTCAGACTCGAGTCATGAATTTGATGACTTCAGACTCGACTTGGACTTGCATAACAATGACTTTGTCCCACCTCTGAGGTGTGGACTCGAGTCATGTGACTTGGACTCGAGTCAGACTCGAGTCATGAATTTGATGACTTCAGACTCGACTTGGACTTGCATAACAATGACTTTGTCCCACCTCTGAGGTGTGGACTCGAGTCATGTGACTTGGACTCGAGTCAGACTCGAGTCATGAATTTGATGACTTCAGACTCGACTTGGACTTGCATAACAATGACTTTGTCCCACCTCTGAGGTGTGGACTCGAGTCATGTGACTTGGACTCGAGTCAGACTCGAGTCATGAATTTGATGACTTCAGACTCGACTTGGACTTGCATAACAATGACTTTGTCCCACCTCTGAGGTGTGGACTCGAGTCATGTGACTTGGACTCGAGTCAGACTCGAGTCATGAATTTGATGACTTCAGACTCGACTTGGACTTGCATAACAATGACTTTGTCCCACCTCTGAGGTGTGGACTCGAGTCATGTGACTTGGACTCGAGTCAGACTCGAGTCATGAATTTGATGACTTCAGACTCGACTTGGACTTGCATAACAATGACTTTGTCCCACCTCTGAGGTGTGGACTCGAGTCATGTGACTTGGACTCGAGTCAGACTCGAGTCATGAATTTGATGACTTCAGACTCGACTTGGACTTGCATAACAATGACTTTGTCCCACCTCTGAGGTGTGGACTCGAGTCATGTGACTTGGACTCGAGTCAGACTCGAGTCATGAATTTGATGACTTCAGACTCGACTTGGACTTGCATAACAATGACTTTGTCCCACCTCTGAGGTGTGGACTCGAGTCATGTGACTTGGACTCGAGTCAGACTCGAGTCATGAATTTGATGACTTCAGACTCGACTTGGACTTGCATAACAATGACTTTGTCCCACCTCTGAGGTGTGGACTCGAGTCATGTGACTTGGACTCGAGTCAGACTCGAGTCATGAATTTGATGACTTCAGACTCGACTTGGACTTGCATAACAATGACTTTGTCCCACCTCTGAGGTGTGGACTCGAGTCATGTGACTTGGACTCGAGTCAGACTCGAGTCATGAATTTGATGACTTCAGACTCGACTTGGACTTGCATAACAATGACTTTGTCCCACCTCTGAGGTGTGGACTCGAGTCATGTGACTTGGACTCGAGTCAGACTCGAGTCATGAATTTGATGACTTCAGACTCGACTTGGACTTGCATAACAATGACTTTGTCCCACCTCTGAGGTGTGGACTCGAGTCATGTGACTTGGACTCGAGTCAGACTCGAGTCATGAATTTGATGACTTCAGACTCGACTTGGACTTGCATAACAATGACTTTGTCCCACCTCTGAGGTGTGGACTCGAGTCATGTGACTTGGACTCGAGTCAGACTCGAGTCATGAATTTGATGACTTCAGACTCGACTTGGACTTGCATAACAATGACTTTGTCCCACCTCTGCCACGTTCTATGCGGTAGGTGGCGATGGTTGCTGCCAGATGAGCGTTAAGTTGGTTGTTTGTTGTGGTTATGAGTGGGGAGTGGTGGCGCAGTGGTTAGCGCGCTACGTTACGAACCCGACGACCCGGGTTTGGATTCCTGCTCACGGCCACCAACACCGGTGACTAATAACTGAACCGGTCCTGGGCCTCCCCTAGGTCGACTCAGCCTTAAAATGAGTACCTGGTGCGATGTGTAGCGGAAGTGCAGCGGTTATTTTTTGTAATTGGTTGTAGGGGTGCCATGGTGGCGAGATGTTCGCTACCTCGCCTGGTGTACATCAGGTCGTGGGTTCGATCCAGACTCTGACGCCTGCTGTATATTTGCAGTTTGTGTGTTCTATCTCTCCCCGTGGTCATGTATCAGAATCTAAACATGCGTTTTGCTATAAATTCCCACGTGATAAGCCACTTCGTTGAGCTATCATTTGTGGCCAGGTCGCTTTTGAAAAAGATGAGAAAAATAAAAACATTGTGTTGTTTAAATTGTTTTCGTAGCTGTGTTCTTAGTGATTATTACGGTCAATATGTTGCTGTTGTGGCGGCTATGGTTGTGATGTAGTTGCTGTCAACTCATGGGTCTAAGGTCCCCTCGGGTCCCCAGTCCCCTCACTTTGTTGCATGAGTCTTGGGCCAGGAGTTGAGGTCGGGGTAGGGTCCCCAGTGCATGGTGGACCCCATCTCGTCCACCCCGTGAGACACTCCCTGAGCGTCCTTGAGATTTGCGTTCCCTGCGCGGCGTGGGGACAGTCATTGACACCCAGTCTGGTGCGGTCCGGACCACATCCACACCCAGACGCACACCCATTCCACATCCAGACCTAAACCCAGAGCAAACCCAGACCTCAGCCCAGACCTAAACCCACACCCAGACATAAGCCGCCCAGACCTAAACCCAGACCAAACTCAGACATAAACCCAGAGCAAACTCAGACCTAAACCCACACCCAGACCAAACTCAGACATAAACCCAGACCCATAGCAGACCCAGGGCCAGACCTAACCCCAAACCTGAACCCAGACGCAGACCGAAGCCCAGACCCAGACCACATCCGTACCTAAAGAAAACCTGCCCAGACCCACGGGAAACCTCATCCACACCCACGAAAAACAGAATCCGTCCCAGACGCAGAGGCGAGCCAACCCAGATCCGAGGCCCCAAGCCGGACCCCCATCTCACCGCGGCACTCCACGATGTCAATCTCGCCGGAGCTGGGCCAACCCCCATACGCGTTCCTCTTGGGCAGCATCCAGATCGCTACATACACAACACACACAGTCACGCACGCAGTCACGCACACAGTCACGCACGCAGTCACGCACGTGTGCAGTCACAAACGGACCGATGCGTAACGTCTCTCTGCAGAGTATCTCAGTGTAGGGTGTATCGGTGCTGGACATCACGGTGCAAGGATGGTTCAGTGCAGGGTGTCTCGGTGCAGGGTGTCTCAGTGCAGGGTGTCTGAGTACAGGGTGTCTGGGTGCAGGGTGTCTGGGTGCAGGGTGTCTGGGTGCAGGGTGTCTGGGTGCAGGGTGCCTCAGTGCAGGGTGTCTGGGTGCAGGCTGCCTCAGTGCAAAGTGTCTCAGTGCAGGGTATCTGGGTGCAGGGCGACTAAAGTGCAGGGTGTCTGGGTGCAGGCTGCCTCAGTGCAGGGTGTCTGGGTGCAGGGTGTCTGGGTGCAGGGTGTCTCATTGCAGGGGCACCATCGCTCACCCGGCCACAGCCAGTCGCCCGTGGGCATCTTGGCGGTCACCTCGACGCGCCCGTAGGTGAAGGCGAACGAGTGGACGGTGCGCAGGCGCGCCGACTGCACCGGGTTCACCACCAGGTCGCCCCCGTTGCCCGAGCGCTCGCAGCCGTAGAACGCGTTGCCCGTGCACGTGTCGGCCGGAGCCGCGCCTGCAGCGCGTCACGGGGAGAGGGGCAACGTCACAAAGGGCTGGGCGCGTCACGGCGGTCGCGCTCGTGTCACGTGACTCATGCAGCCAGCTATGGCTGCAGGGTTTTGGTGGTACATGTTGTTTACGTCGTTTATTGTGAAAATTCGGTCACAGTTCCTATGACCACTGTTTCATTGCTTTTATGGCTTTGTTTTGGTGATTTTGGAAAAGTTTTTTGGTTTGGCCATGTTTGTTTGTTGTAGAACAGAGTTAGACTGATGGCCTTAATCTAAGTTGTCTTGTGGTTGTTGTTGTTGTTTGACTTGCATCCCACTGGGATATTTGCACAGGGTTGGTGTATGGTGCTTTTTTCTGCAATATTTTGCTGTCTTTTCTTGGATTTTCTGTTTGCACTCAGTCACATAGTCACTTTAAGATGTTTTCTTGTTCATGTTTTTGTTTTTTGCTTGTTGCGGTTGCACCCGATTCAAGAGCCGAATGGCTCACAGGGCTATACCTAATAAATTAACTTTGAACTTTGAACGTGAACCGTCGAACTCGCACAGCCGATACTTCTGTGTTGCTGTTTACCGAGTAGGCGACACGTGAAGGCCGTCACGGCACCCGTGATGAGGGGAGTTGGTGGGGGTGATACGGCACGCCCGGCCGCCTTCGTCTCTCCCCCGGCGCTTCGCCATGGGGAGGGGTTCGGCAACTTGCGGCTCTGTAGCCGCGTGCGGCGGGTCCTGATTGGACGGCTTCGTGACCGTCACGAATCAAGGACAGCCACCACCGTCTGGTGTCCGCGTCGCGTTGCGGCTCTTAAAATATCGACTTTGTTTTAGCGAATTCTACAACAGTGGCTCGTCTTGTTGTGGTTGTTTTGGGCGGACACGTTCATGGCGCTAACCGCTGTGCCACCTCTCCAAAAGACAAAGATCCCCCGTGTAGCCTTCGATAGACTGTGGGGGCAAGTGCTGTTATCCAGTGGCTACGAAGGGGGGTAGGTGGCCAGCACCACGCCCGGCCGCCTTTGTCTCCCCAGTGCTGATCCTTAACACACCACACCAGGTACTCATTTGATAATCGTCACGGATGTTCGTAGCGCAATGCGCTAACCACTACACCCACCGCTCCACACAACAACACCAAGTTACATCACCACGGCGCTCGTGCCAGGCTAGGTGCACCCTGAGGCCGTCACGTCAGGCGTGGAAGGCTCGCCGCTCAGACAGGGACCGGACTCGAACCCTCACCCCAGATGTTGAGGGAGCCGGTGCGCACGAAGTTCTCGTTGTAGGTCTCCTCCGTGAGCGTCGGGCGGATGAACAGAGTCCCGTCGCGCACGTAGCTGTTGCTGCGGTTGTTCGTGTAGTGCTGGAACTCCCAGTTCTACAGAGAGACAACCACCAACACGGGAATCATCGCAACCACCACCACGACCACGCAACAAACCACAACGATGACCACAACCGTAGCAATGAACACAGCCATCACATGAATAGCCACAACAATAACCACAGAAATACACACAACTATCACAAGAATAACCACAAGAATAACCACAGAAATAACCACAACCACGCAACAACCACAACCACGCAACAACCACAATATAACCACAAAAGACGAAGATCCCCCGTGTAGCCTCAACAGACTGTTGCTGCAGGTGCTGTTAGCGAGCAGCACCTGGTGTGGCCAGGACCACAACCACGATACAACCACCTCCACGAGGAGAAACACAACCATCTGCACACAATACTTCATCGCTCCATGTCTTCTGTGGTCGGGGACAGGTTAGAGGGCAGGGTCGGGCTAGTGGTCAGGTTCAGGGTCAGGCTGGAGATCAGGGTCAGGCTAGAGATCAGGGATGGGTTCAGGGTCATGCTAGTGGTCAGGGAGCGGTTCAGGGTCAGGCTAGAGATCAGGCACGGGTTCAGGTTCAGGCTAGTGATCAGGGTCAGGCTAGAGATCAGGGACGGGTTCAGGGTCATGCTAGTGGTCAGGGAGAGGTTCAGGGTCAGGCTAGTGATCAGGGCCAGGCTAGAGATCAGGCACGGGTTCAGGGTCAGGCTAGAGATCAGGCACGGGTTCAGGGCCAGGCTAGAGATCAGGCACGGGTTCAGGGTCAGGCTAGATATCAGGCACGGGTTCAGGGTCAGGCTAGAGATCAGGCACGGGTTCAGGGTCAGGCTAGAGATCAGGCACGGGTTCAGGATCAGGCTAGAGATCAGGCACAGGTTCAGGGTCAGGCGAGTGGTCAGGCATGGGTTCAGGGTCAGGCTAGTGGTCAGGGTCAGGCTAGAGATCAGGCACGGGTTCAGGATCAGGCTAGTGATCAGGCACGGGTTCAGGGTCAGGCTGGTGGTCAGGGTCAGGCTAGAGATCAGGCACGGGTTCAGGATCATGCTAGAGATCAGGCACGGGTTCAGGGTCAGGCTAGTGGTCAGGGTCAGGCTAGAGATCAGGCACGGGTTCAGGATCAGGCTAGAGATCAGGCACGGGTTCAGGATCAGGCTAGAGATCAGGCACGGGTTCAGGGTCAGGCTGGTGGTCAGGGTGAGGGGTCAGCGCTTACCCCTCCGCCGCCCAGCGTGATCTCGTGCTCCCACGTGTCCATGTCGAGTTGGTCCCAGAGCTCCTCGAAGACGAGCCCGTTGCATGGCGGGAGGGCCTGGTCACAGGATGCGGGGCACGGGAAACTCGAGCACAGGGACACTGGGTCTGGGGACACGAAGGAACGCCATCATCATCATCGATAGCATCGTCAATACCACAGTCGCGTAACTAGCGTGGGGCAGGTGGTGCCTTGTCCAAGCCCCCCCCCCCTCCCCTAGTGGCCAAAGTTACGAGTTGGGGCCCCCTTGACAAACACCGTGAGATTTGTTTTCAACAACGGTGTGAACAAAACTAAAACCAAAATCTTGGCTTAAAACTTTCGCGACTGCAGGAATTCGTATTCTTGGTTCTTTCGGTAAAGTCACGTATATAGGAAATAAAAAATTTAAATATATGTTTATATATTTTGTAATTTAAAAAAAAATTAAATAAAAAAAAAATTATTTTTTATGTAATAATAAGAGACATATATTTAAAAATATATTTTTTTACATTTTATTATCTGTTATTTTTATTTTAGAAAACCTATTTAAAACGCGGATGAAATTAATGTAGTATTAAAATTGTTTCATTTAGTCGTGGCTGCATTTTGCGAATACGGAGCGTCCCTCCAGTGTTAAATGTTCGAGACCGTGAGCGTAGCGAGGACGTGATTAGGGAACTCGAGGTGCGACCGCGCGAGACAAATCAAATGTTGGGACCATCATCTGACCGATTGCAGCAGCCCCCCCTGAGCTGATAATGTCGTCACTACGCCACTGCATTACCATCATCACGATTGAATAACTATTATCGTCAACATCACCGTCTTGCCGATGTGTTTGCTTGGACTCGGTGTGCTGGACCATACTAGATTGCACGGTTGGCTACGCATATTGTGAAAGAAGTTCAACCTGCATACGACTGAGTGTGTGCGGATGCATCTGTCGGCTGCACAGAAGGAATCTATCAGTCGTTACATTGAGCTGATCTGGCCCGTGCCTTACAATGACTCCAAAAATCCAATCACACCGTCAGCATAGCAATGTAAATGCCCATTACCGTTATCATGGACGACATCACCACCATCAATTCGCCAATTACATTTTTTTTTTTACCAACTAAAGCCGACTGAGCTGATCACAAACGACAGCTCAAAGAAGTGTATCATCAGGTCTAGATGTATCGCAGCCAAACACTCTAAACGCGTGATTCGAAATGTGGAGGGGAAAACCCGGTAGTACCAGCAGAAAAAAAATCTACGCGACCACGGAAATAACAGTCAAACTCCAAGTAAACAGCAGCAGGCGTCAGGGTCGAACCCACGACCACCTGTATACCAGGCGAGGTAGTTAACATCTCCAAGCCACCGTGATGATGATGAGAGAGAGACACACACAAACTCCAAATATACAGCAGCATGCAGGCGTCAGGGTCGGGATCGAACCCACGACCACCTGTATACCTGGCGAGGTAGTTAACATCTAGCCACCGTGATGATGATGAGAGAGAGACACACGCAAACTCCAAATATACAGCAGCAGGCGTCAGGGTCGGGATCGAACCCACGACCACCTGTATACCTAGCGAGGTAGTTAACATCTCCTAGCCACCGTGGCGCGCCCCTTTACACGGCCGCCACCACCAATTACCTGGATCGGCACAGAGCACCCCCGTGCCGAGCAGGGCGCTGAGCGCCACGCACACCGCCAGGAGGAAGCCGCTGAGCGCCATGAGGAGCAGCTCTCGTTGAGTGAGAGACTTGGACGAACACCCCATTTATCCCGGAGCCGTAGTCGCTGGGTCCTTGAGGTTTTTCCTATCTACGGCTCGTTATCCGTAGAGGTGCGCGCTATCGAAGCGAGACTTTGCTCGCGGTCTGTGGTTTTCACCCGGGAGAGATATTTCACAGGCGTGGCCACGCGTTTATGGCGACGTGACCTCTGCCACTGCGGACGCCGCGGTGGCTATGAGATGTCAACTCCCTCGCCTAGTGTACAGGAGGTCGTGGGTTCGATCCCGACCCTGACGCCTGCTGCTGTGTATTTGGAGTTTGCGTCTCTCTCTCATCATCGTCACGGTGGCTAGGAGATGTTAACTACCCCGCCTGGTATACAGGAGGTCGTAAGTTCGATCCCGACCCTGACGCCTGCTGCTGTGTATTTGGAGTTTGAGTCTCTCTCTCTCATCATCATCATCACGGTGGCTATGAGATGTCAACTCCCTCGCCTGGTGTGCAGGAGGTCGTGGGTTCGATCCCGACCCTGACACCTGCTGTATATGTGGAGTCTGCGTCTCTCTCTCATCATCACCACGGTGGCTAGGAGATGTTAACTACCCCGCCTGGTACACAGGAGGTCGTGGGTCCGATCCCGACCCTGACGCCTGCTGTATATGTGGGGTTTGCGTCTCTCTCTCTCATCATCATCATCACGGTGGCTAGGAGATGTTATCTCCCTCGCCTGGTATACAGGAGGTCGTGGGTTCGAGCCTGACCCTGACGCCTGCTGCTGTGTATTTGGAGTTTCCGTGTTTGCTGTCCCCGTAGTGGTCGCGTGGATTTGTCTCTGGGTCCTCCGGTTTTTCCCTCCACATTTAGTAACGTGCGTTTAGAGTATTTGGCTGTTATAAATGTCCACGTGATAAGCCACTTCGTTGACGATCATTTGTGGCCAGGTCGCTTCTGAGAAAGAGCTGCATAGCTCAACGGACCATACCTGGTAATATAAAATATTGTTTAGTTTTTTTTTATTTCATTGACACGGAGAGAGGGAGGGCAAGCGGGGGGCCGGTGATTGGTGAAGGTGGTTATAGAGATGCTTCTGTGAATTTCGTGGTGGTGAATTGGTGGTGGTGATAATTATGAATTTATGGGGGTGAAATGGTGATGGTGAATTGGATTGGTGACCATTATGTCGTGGTGGTGCATTGGTGATGGTGAATTGGTGATGATGGTGGTGGTGAGTTGGTAGCGATGGTGCATTTGTGGTGGTAATAGTGATCATTTGGTGATGATGGTGGTACATTGGTGGTGATAGTGGTGATGATGATGATGATGAATTGATGGTGGTGACGGAATGTTGATGGATACATTTAACAACACACGACTGTGCGCAGCATTGCAGGTGATTGTGGTGATGGTGTTGGTAAATTCACGACGAATTGGTGGTGGCGATAAAAGTTGCGGTTGGAGAGCAATTGGGGGGAATGAATGAGTGATGAGTGCGTTAAAATTAATGTCTGTAACTGAAACAATAATCAATGAGGACATGCATATAATGTGACATCACCACGGCGCTTGTGCCAGGCAGGGTGCACTTTGAAGCCATTATGTAAAGTGTCGAAGGCTCGCTGGCAGGAGGTCACGGGGTAGACTTAGGTGTCATGGTCTGACTGAGATGGACCACCTGTGCTCTCCACAGCGCCACCTCGCTGCCTTTTATCCACCCTGGCTCTCCACTCGTTGTTGTGAGCGTCATTCCTCCACCCTCCGCTGTTGTTGGAAGGCGACTGCCTCCAACTGCTCAATAGCCCTCACAGTGCACCTAGCCTGGCACGGCCCAGTAGCGTCCTTTACGAGCCTCCCTTCTTTACAGAGGCCGATCTTGACACCACCGGTACGAGTCATCGGTAAGTCCACTCTGCTCCACATCACATAAGCCCAGGGGAATGGCACCCTCGACTGCCCACTCTACAGTGTTCAGACATTCTATAACTATTTAAACTAAACATTTTTGTTGTTATTTTACAAGGTATGGTTCGCTGTACTATATAGCTCTTTTTCAGCAGCGACCTGGCCACAATTGACAGCTTAAACGAAATGGCTTATCACATGGAAATGTATAGCAGCAAAAAAATTGCGGAGTTCCCGGAGTAAATATCCACGCGACCACCACGGGGAGAGAGAAATAGAACTTGCAAACTCCAAATATACAGCAGCAGGCGTCAGGGTGTCGGGATCGAACCCACTACCTCCTGCACACCAGGCGAGGTAGTTAACATCTCCTAGCCACCGTGATGATGATGATGAGAGACACGCAAACTCCAAATACACAGCAGCAGGCGTCAGGGTCGGGATCGAACCCACAAACCTCCTGCACACCAGGCGAGGTAGTTAACATCTCCTAGCCACCGTGATGATGATGAGAGAGAGAGACACGCAAACTCCAAATACACAGCAGCAGGCGTCAGGGTCGGGATCGAACTCACTACCTCCTGCACAGCAGGCGAGGTAGTTAACATATCCTAGCCACCGTGATGATGATGATGAGAGAGAGACACGCAAACTCCAAATACACAGCAGCAGGCGTCAGGATCGGGATCGAACCCACGAACCTCCTGCACACCAGGCGAGGTAGTCAACATCTCCTAGCCACCGTGATGATGATGATGAGAGAGAGACACGCAGACTCCATTGTGATGGGGTCCATTGCGATGGGGTCCATTGTGATGCGGTGCATTGTGATGCGATGCATTGTGATGGGGTCCATTGTGATGGGTCCATTGTGATGGGGGGCATTGTGATGCGGTGCATTGTGATGCGGTGTATTGTGATGGGGTCCATTGTGATGGGTCCATTGTGATGGGTCCATTGTGATGGGATCCATTGTGATGGGGGGCATTGTGATGGGGGGCATTGTGATGGGGGCATTGTGATGGGGGGCGTTGTGATGGGGGCATTGTGATGGGGTCCATTGTGATGGGGGCATTGTGATGGGGTACATTGTGATGGGGTGTATTGTGATGGGATGCTATACATACGGGGGGGGGGCAGGGGGGTGGGGGGGGGCAGTCGTTCAGCCGGCTCGCGTCAGCCGTTCACGCCGGTGACGGCAACGCGAGTCGAAGGGAGACTGATATCACGACGATTGCCGCGTTGTGAAAGTTGACAACAGCCGATATCGTATCGCGACCACACGGTATCGAAGCCGAGCCGGGTTCGAGAAAATGTGGACCCCCCCCGCCCCCCCCCCCGCCAGCCCCCCCTGGAATGGATAAGAGTCGGTGTCATGGCTAGGGCAAGCAGCTCGTGGCAGGAGTTCACGGTTCGAATCGAGCGGCCGCTCCCACCGTTACGACTGCGTTGTGTGCAGAGCGCCAATGGCCATTTGGATATTTATATAACATCATTCGCGGGCCATGCAAAATTATCAACTTAAAAATTAGCCCGTTATATTTGGTCAAACATTTAATTAACTCCACCCCTAATGCGATGGCTGGAACTGCTTCTCTTTGGCGAGGCGTGTGATGTTGGCTGGTATTGACGATGTTGCTACTCGCAACTGCTTTTCCAGGTTTGCTCCTAGATTTATTGAATTTCGAGTCCTACCTGCGGTTGCCTTGGCAGGGCCACACCAAATGATTTCGCGGGCCTCATACGGCCCGCGGGCCGGACCGTGACGATGCCGCTGATGCCGTCTGCTTCACTCACAGTCGATGTTAAAGATCCCGTGCCCAATTCAAAATGTGCACGCGAATCACCAAATTGGGATCGCAAACAGCAGCTTTCAATGCCCCTCCAGCAGACTCGTGAGCCAGGTCACACTTGCAAATGAGACTCATCCTGGCCTCTTGACTTCTCGTCTGCGTTACACAAAATCAACTTGAGCTCACTCACCCATTCGCTAAAGCCACCATTCCTCCGTCCACTCGACCACTCCTTCACCCACTCACTCACACGCTCACCACTCACGCACTTGCTCACCCACCCACTCACTCATTCACCCACTCACTCATCCACTCCTTGACCTAACCACTCACTCAAACGCTAGCTCACTCACCACTCACTCGCACTCACGCACCCCCTCACCCACCCGCTAACACTCAATCATTCGTCCACCCACCCACTCACTCACCCACTCGCTCGCTCATCCACTCCTCCACCCACCCACTCAACGCTCACTCACCACTCACGCACGCACTCGCTCGCTCACCCCCTCAATCACCCACCCACTCGCTCAATCACCCACTCCTTCACCCACCCCTTCACCCACCCACTCACTCAACGCTCACTTACCACACACTCAATCGCTCACCCACCCACTCACGCTCACTCATTCACCCACCCACTCACTCTTGTAAATTAAACTCATTCCGATATCTTGAGGTTTCACCTGCAGGTCAAACAAAACAAACTTGCACTTGAATCTGGTTGTTGGGGGCTCTCGTATCAGAAATCTTTGCCCGCGGTCTCTTGCGTGACGCCACAGTGTTAATTGCGGTGTTGACCTCGTAGGGTTCGGACCCGCGTATACAGGGGAATGAATGAGTGGATTGTCGAATGCATTAATGAATAAATGAGAGAGAGAACACCATTGGAACCTCATTTGCCAGTAGAAAAATATGAGAATAGTTTTTTTACCCTTTTATCTGGCAACAAAACTGACACATTTTTTACAAGGAGTCATGTTTGCATAGACCACAATACCTGCAGTCGTAATGCAAACAAAAAACATAACTCTGATAATGTATGCACTGTCCTTGAAGTTGATTGGTCCACACCCGAGACAGCTTTCCTTAGAGCCTAGTCTCACCCTGGTGTTGGACCACCGGAGGAGCCATCGGTGGAGGGCGGCGTAAAGAGAAGTCGGAGTCGCCATCTTACCACAGTCAAGGAATTCGCCATCGGCGGCGATTGGAGCGCTTTCGCCTGTAGATTCTTGGCGGCGGTCCGTTTGGCGAGGTGGACCGATGCTGAGGCCTTAGAAGTGTTGCCGACTCTTCTGGACGACGAATCAGTTCGATTTTTTTCGTTCCATAAAGGCCGAAAAGAAGAAGACATTATATGGAGTTTTTGAAGAAATGGCCGACGCCTACGAGCCACCTGACGATGCGCATCGGCGATTTGCTCAACGACAA